TCGGGGGAGAGGTCCAAGGATGCGAGCTTAGCATCAAGAATATTGAACCACTTGGATGAAAAGGGATCTTTTAGTAGGTCATTGAGTATGGAATCTGGTTGGGTATTGAGGTGTAGTCTAAGCCAGAACTTGAAGGTTAGGGACCAAGCGATAGTCACTTTCTGTGCGCCAGCTCAAATGTGAAAGAACGTGCAGAGAGTTCCTCTCCACCACTCAGCTTTCGAATGCCCTTCGCTTGGATATTTGCCCATGTCTTAGCCTCTGTGCCTTCCAGATGCACTTTCGAGATGCTTCTCGCGAAGCAGGCTTTTAGTGAAACACAGGGAGGAAGAAGACAGTGGCCTCTGTGTTATAAATATCATCAGCCTACTCTTCCTTTCTTGCGTGCTTGGGATGGCATGGCTGAGGAGCTCAGAATGCTGTTTTTACCGTTAAAGCACTCATGTTTAAATCCAGAAGATCATTCGTTCATTCATATTAAAATCTTGAGACCATTAAGAGGAACACAAAATTCATTTCATGAAATGGAGAAGGGAAAAAATCAACGATGACAATCAAGGCCACCACTGAGGTTCTGATAGCATCACAAAAAAGGACGAAAATCATGAGTTGGGAGTAATATTTTCAAGGCCGTTTGTACCCGTCTCCCCAGTTTTGAGGAATTACAGCTGGGGTTTTCAAAACAATTGGTTGTTAAAATTGTGTGCACATGCTGACACATGCATGTGCGTGCACACACACAGATATACAGAGAAACACATTTGCAAAATGTAGTAATCCCATTGTTTCTTCCTAGACAAATATAACATAAGAACACTGCCATTTACCCTTCCTTGTCCACATAAAGGAACCCCTTTTGTGCCTGTTCTATAGTTGAGATAAGGACAGGATCTCTACTGAAACAGAACAATCAATGCATGTTGCAAATGGTCTGAACCAGAGTGGGCAACAGATCTGAGTGTTTTTCCCTTCTCTAGGTAGATTAGGACTCTGTGTAGATTGGTACTCTTCGTCTTCCTTCCCTCACACTCCCGTACTCTTCCTAGCTAGAGAGAACCAGCAGAATGTGGAATCTCCTTAAGAGTCACCGGCAGACCTTGCACATGTGAAAATCACCCGGAGTGCAAAATTTAAGGATAACGATGATTAACGGTGACGTTTGTTTCTGCCTCTTGTCTTCTAATTAGCAGGGCAAACAACAACAACAAAAAGTAGTTAAACCTTTTTAGTATGCTTAAGTTCAGCATTGGACTGGTTCACCGAACAAATGCCAAATAATTCTGATAACCTA